GTGGCAGGCGTATGAAATTAGTGTCACTGTCAAGCTGTTTGTAATTCAAGCCCTCCGCCTGGGGGCCCAGCTTTGCAAATGGGCACATAATCAAATAGAAAGGAGGCAAAGGCAGGGGGTAGGAAAAAGGGTAAATAGCCCTTTTTTCCTGTCACTTCTGCCATGGGTCCTCAGCAGCTCCTCTGCTCCCGGCTGACTGGAGTAATAGGAATCCAACATCTGTGCAATGTGAGGCAAAGCTGTACCTGTGCCACTGCTGTGCAGGGCACAGAGAATGCCAGCTGCTCAGCTGCTCTACTTCAGGTGAGCCAGGAAAAACCATGAAAAAGAGATAATCCAAAGTGTGATAAGACAGGTACTGCATGTCAGGGAAGTGGATTGTCTTGCTGGGCATTAGCTGTGCTGCATGACATGTCATTTGGTTATCTGGTGCTCTGTTGCTTGGACAAATCTTCCAGGAATCAGGGACTGTCCACCAGGCTAATTTTTTTTACTAGATATTTCATTGATCTGCTGAGAGCTGAAAAGCCCAAAAGTATTTACTCTTGTCCAAGTCATGCCATCCAAATTACACAACCTCTAGTGAAGACAAAGTAAATTGTGAGGGGGCAGATTCACTCATGATACTTCTGTTGCCTGATACTATTTGTTAATGGAGAAAATACAGCATGTCCCTGAAAAAAGTTTAAAAACAAAACTTAAAAAAAAACCCATCAGAAAATAGTTTTTCTGCTGTTTAAAGAAGCATCAAGTGTTTCCACTTCAGGCTCTGTAAATCAGAATTATGTCAGGTTTTGCATGCATGTGTATCATTTTAGATAAGGGAATGAAACATGAGTCATATCTGCAAATATCAAAAGCAAGACTGTTGCATTGGTTTAAGGCAGGCAAGCACCAGTTTAAGAGCTGTTTTAGTCCTTATTTTCTATGGTACGAACTCTGCATTTACAATCCTTCCTCCACCCTCTACTATTCATTCACACAGTAATATATTTTAGCAATATTTATCTCATTTTAAAAATTTTTAATTAGAGAAGTTTTTAGATTCTCTCTGGAATGTTCAGTTTTGGTATTTTCAGTGATGCAAGGGGAAATTGCAAGATTCAGGTCCTAAACACGCTGCTGATGTTTCTTTTTTTCAAATGACTTTCCAGAAAAGCACTTTTTTTTTCTGTATATATTTTACAACTCCCATGCCCATTGTCTTTATGGATGGAGAAGCTTGCTCTGCTGTCAGAAATACCATTGGGGCTGCATTTCCTATTGGACTTTGTTCATTCAGCAACCCCCCCCCCCCCTCCCCATCCCAGACTCCAGTAAAATACACTTCAGTGTTTGGGATTTCCCATTCATCCCGATTAAAACAAAGCCAGCAAAGTTTCCCCCACCAAACTGCTCCTGTTTTGAAGAGGCAGCAGCCACCGGCTCTGGTTTTGTTGGGGATGAAAAGAGGGCATCGCAGCTGTAAGGCAGTGCAGACGTGTGAAATGGGTTTCACACGCTGCTCAGCTACCAGTGGGGTGGCCATGTATGATTCAGTCTGGCCTAAGTCAAGAAAAGGAAAAGCCTTCAAAGCCACGCCAGCCATCACCTCTTACAAACCCTAAGTACCCCTTTTGACTGCCATCGCTTTGCTGAAAATAACACATTTAGTCATTTGTCATAATTATAAGAGTCCCAGTGACAAGGAATGCGGGCCCGCCTTTTAGCGCTGCCAGGCCTGTGATAATGCAGCCAGCGGGGGACGGCTGCTGCCAGCAAACTGCGGTCGCTGTGCCAGTGACGCTCCTGCCGAAAGGTCATGCGTGACCTCTGCAAGCAGTTCATCCCAGATGATTGATCGGCTCGCAGCAAAACTAATAATTACATAGCTCTTCATTGCCATTCATCTTCGTAACATGAAATTTATCCTGGTGTGAAGGATCCAGGCCAGGCTGGCGTAAACTGTTGAGCCAGAAGCCTACTAAAGCCCCAAAGATGCAACTCAAACTGTTTCAGCTCCACCCCCCACCCCACCCCTCTTTTAACTTCTTGTTTTCTGCAGGTATTTCCCAAAGACAATGAACAACGTAATCTTCTTCGCTCACGTGTATTATTTCAATGTTTCTATTTTGCATTTCTAAGCGTAATCTACAAAACTCAACAAAACTTACTCTGTTTGCTTTCTCCAGACACTCTCGGTGTGCACGTGTTACTGTTACAGCATGTTTCTGTGACTCACAAATCTCTATTTTTTTACCAATATCCATTTAAACACCTTTTTAACATGAAGAACGTAAATATACTTTCCCAATTGCTTTCAGTTACCTAGGATCCTCAAGTTTTTTTCAGCAAACATTGCTTTCTCACACATGGTAAAGACCTTCTGCCCCACTCAAACAGATTCAGAGCCCTTCAGAAGCGTGAGTGCAGACTCCTGCAGGGATCGCTGCACTTTCCAGAAAACCTCATCAGGAAAACATACTCACCACGTAAATATGGGGAGGCACACGTCAAGGCAGCAGAAGTGAAAACTTTCTGCTGAGGGTGTGTGTGAAGTGTACCTCTTTAACCTGGAGCTATCTCTAGATCCCCATGGAAGGAGTGAAAGACTGGAAGTGAAATAGTTTGAATTTCTACATTTCCCCACACCCCAGCCAGCAAGCGAGCCCCTATCAACAGGGGCTTTTTTTTCCAGTGAAGTATCAGTGAACATCCTGAACTTGCACTTGGGAGAGGTAACACGAGACAAAAATTGTGTATACACAAACACTCCCAGAGTTAATTCTAAACAAGGGCTTCAGGACAGAGTCACCACATGCTGAAATGCTCGGAGACCTGTTTGCTTTAAGCTGATGTCTCCTAGTCTTTTACGCCAAAGCAACAACCGACTGCCAGGGTGTTTCGTTCCTCTGCACCCTACAAAGATGTAGAAAAGATGTGTATATCCAGACTAAGGAAGAAGAGTCCTAGCAAACCCTTTCTTTGTGTTTCTGGGATGCAGCTTACATATATGTTAGCATGTCTTAATGGGGAGCCAGAAGTGTTCTGGACAGCTGAACACTTCTGACAGCCCAATTTTAGGAATCACCTCCGATCAATAAGACAGAAATTTCACATTTGAATCTTTATCTACTTGAATTATTCACATCTGAATCTCTCATTTACCAAGCAGGGAGCAGGCTCTGATGTTTGCTCTCTTATTATGGAAAATTCTTCCAACTCTATTTACAAATCTTCAGTTAGTGAAATTTGCTGGTAATAATCTAGCACTGAGTAGCATATTCTTTTGAGAATAGTCAGTTAAATTAGCCTACTTGTGAAACAATGTCTTGGTTTACACAAGTAAACATTTCGGACTTAGAAACCATGTTATTGATAACTTTGTGGCTAAATCCCTACAGCTTTACTTGTTTTTTTGTGTAGCCTATTTCTTTGTCCAATCTGCTGTTATATTCACAAGTAGCATCCTTAAAATGTCTGAAGTCAGGACCCCAGGATTTTGCCAAATGCTAGGAATATCTCTTAAGATGTTACCAGACAAGCAGCCTTGAGAAGAAACACAAAGATCAAAGAATGAGCTTTGTTCACTATAGCAAAACTGGCGTCTGCTCAGACTCTCAAAGGATCCAGCTTTACCCTCCCAAGTTTGTTTTGTTTTGCTGATTACACTACTTTCTTGTAGCTCATCTACAGTGAATAAAACTTTCTTTTAATTTAAAAAGAGGTCTCGTGCTCTATTTTTACTGCAAGGAAAACAACTGATTTCCCCTCCCCCTAGCAAAAACCAGTGCAGGAACCCAGTCCCTGGCAGCTGCTGCTGACTTTAAGCACCATATATAAGGTATTAAACCACCCACTTTATGTTCTAATAACATTAACAGTCTCACATGAACCAGGACATTCAGGTTAAAGCTAAAATTCTCTCCTTAAGTCACCACATTGTGTCTAGGTACAGTATTGCAGCACTTAATCAGGGGGCCTCAGAGCAGTGGGGGGTTCATACCATATGTGCTATAATACCTAAGCACAGCGGGGTGAGTTAAGGACAGAGTTTTAGACTTAACTCTGAATTTCTTAGGTTCTGCTAGTCCCATGCTTAATGTTGTTTTTTTTTTAAAAAAAAAGAAAAAAAAGAAAGCATTCTATGTGTCTGGGGAGTTACTTTCCTCTTTAAAAAAAACAACAAATCACCAACAGAAAACATGTTGTGAAGGACAGTGCACAAGTGAGGGTGATTTCTCAAGAAAAGATGAAAGTAGGTATCCAATGCCAACCATCTACAATGATAGCATGGGCATGTTGATATTCTACAAACATTTATGCAACTTTCAAACACATTAACTTAATCCAGGTGTCTAATAAATCTATATTAAAAATACTGTTTCCACATGAACTTTATAGTTCTTAAAGCCATTTACTTTAATTATATTGTCTTTGATTTCTTAGCATCTTCCAGGACACAGCCTAGAGTTTAGATAGTACTGCAAAATACATTCTCTAATGAGATGCTTACAGTTTAAAAATCAATACTAATTGTGCTAGATTTGTACTTCTTCTTGGCAAGCCTGTTAGCAAATATGTATTTGCTATGTATTAAACAAGTTTCAGATTAAAAATTTATCCTCATAGAAACTCCATAAAACAATCTGCAAGAAGGTGAGAAGACTAAAGTTGTCAGTGTAACACTGAATTTTCCTAGGGCAACTCTATGTAAACCTAGTGGTATTGTGGAAAGACCAAAAAACAGACCCTTTATTTCTTCTCCTGTAACAGCAGATAAAAGGTATTTAAACATACAGCACCTGCACATCGTCAAATCTAAAAAGAACAATAACCAAAGCTGAACCAAAACTGTACAGCTAGTATTAGTGTCTGGAAACAACGCTTCTACAAAGTACATCTCATCTGTGTTTAGGGTGATTTCCTATTGTTTGTTAAACATTTTTCAGTCGCATCTAGGTGCCTACTATTCGTACAGCAAAGTGGCAGAGTAAATTTCTACAGTACATCCTACTTACCTTCTCCTCAAAAGAAATTCACTGGCCTCTGAGTCAAGATCCATTTTCACAACTAGAGGGTAGATCCTTTGCTAGAATTATTTATTATGGCTGCATCATCTGCAAGTGAAATCAAATGAACATAAAATGAGCAACATCCAGGGAGTGTTACCCTTCTCTCACTAAGGCAGGCTTGGTGGAAGGTCTGATATAATATATCATACCTTGGTGAAAACCCACCAACTCACCTGATGATTTTTAATGTGGGAAAGCAGCAAGGTCTAGAGGGAATGTTTAGGACAGGCATGTGAAACATACCCTCAAGAGTAACCCCCAGTGAAAATACAAGTTCACCTCTTCAGAGAAAAGCTCATTAAAAACTGGCAGATCTCAGTGGTTTTATTGCAAACCAATCAACCTGAACCTGTAAAGGAGTCTGACCTCACCCAGATTCATGGGTCTTCTATTTTTGACTTTACCTGCTACTGATAAGAATTGATTTCAAAGGTTCTAAAATTAGCTCTGTGCATCAAAGGATGGTTATAGCATGTCTTGGCAATGTTGCAGTTTTACACGTTTTGCTGTTCTGTGTGTGTTCTCTAATTGGAAAAGTGTAACCCTTAAATCCAGGAATCGGTGACTGAGTTAACTTTCCTCTTGGAGAAGTGCTTGGAAATTGACTTCCTCATAAGTGAGGTTTTTTCCCTTGCATGCAGGTGGAAACCAGAGTATAGTTCTCATAAAGTTAACAAGGTCACTTTGCTGGGCTTAGGCCTCATGTAATTTAAGTCACCTATTGCCAATGAAGGTAGGTAACATTTTCTGCCACTACAGATCACTCCTCTGAAACCAGAGCAGTGATTGTTAGCAGTATAAACCCACCAAAACCAAATGGATTTAAAATGTCCTAAACAATCAGAAACTGAAGAAATTGAAAAAAAAAAAAAAATCTAAATGCTCATTTAGCAGTGTAATAAAATGAACGTGTATGGTAGGAAATAATTCTGTGCTTTTCCATTTAAGTGTTTTGTACTGGAAGATGTAAACACATTCATAATAACATCAACACAGGCAGGGAGTGCCAAAACCACAGACATCACACTAAGTTACCAACCCAGAAAGAAGGTACCCCTATGTCTTGTTTTTATCCTTAACACCTTTTAGCTTCTTTCCCTCACACGTCTACCCTCCCTGCTTTTAGGCTGGAAGAAGCTGTGAAGTGGTAAAAGGAGTTTGTGCTCATAAAGGTTTGATGACTCGACCATCTGGCTGGGAACTCTCATAAAAGAAGCCCTGCGGAGGTTAAGGAGGTCAGAGACTACACAAGGTGGGGTTGAGGTGGGTCCCAGAACTCCTCTAACTGGCACCCAAATTTTATCCAACCGATTGTAAGGTGCTCTCATCAACCTCCACAGAAAAGCATCTCCATGGACTGCTGACAAACATGACTTCTTTCTCTTGTTCATTCTTCTAATTCTATGGAAATTTAAAGGCAATGTCTCTGCCCGTATCCCATTGTAATCAATTCCATCCTCTCCCAGTGCTCAGCTCATTAACAAGTGACCTGAAGGCAGGGGAAAAAACCCACAACTTTTGTATAATGGAGCCTTGCTGCGTAGAGACTATAAAAGTAAACAGGCCTGGTTCACTTAAATAATAATAAAAAACAAAACAAAACCAAACCCCCAAAAAACAAACCCAAAAAAACTAAAGAGATGAAGAAAAAATACAAAATATACTCTCTTAAACACTTAAGATTCCCGATGTTAGAAATTATCTACATGACAGATATCTGTTCTTGCATTTGCAAATTATTTTTCCCTTATAGAAGTGTTATCTAGAGCTGTAACTGTTTACACAACAATTCTGTGCTATGTGCCCCCAAACCATATATTTAAAACCTGTACACACAAAGTTATAGTCTTCTGCTGTACTGACTGCCCTGGCAGCAGATAAGTACCCATCATCAGGGTTATGAATTGCAGGCTTCATTAGTCTTAAAATGGTAACAAAGGAAGATGCTCCCTAAAAAGTGTCATCCTTCATCCGAGAGGGTAGTGCCTGACACATTAGGAATCTATATGCTCAATTAACCACTGGCAGGCTCATTTTTTCTGTGCCTCTCACTCAGCTTCTCTCCCCACCCCTTCTCCTAAGCACTTCACACTTCCTTCTGACTGAATCCTTCAGCCCTGCCATAGATAGCCCTGACTGTATGCAAACTCTCAACTACAGGGCTGCTTGAGGGATTACTTTTGGCTGCTACTTGTTCTCTCTCAACCACTTTCCAGTGAACGGCCAAAGAATGTTACTGCTATATTTTGCTTTTGATTACCAAAAGGGAATACATTCAGATCCTTTGCCATTAAAAGTTAGTTCACAAATTCAGAATCTATCTTGGAAATTAACATAGTCTGGTGCTTAAATTGTAATTTGTATTCATAGCTCTTGAGAGCAAGAACACTTTCTGAAGAAGCAAAGTATGCTTCTTTTATATAAAAAATAATAGTTTTTCAGTCTATCAGCTTGTGAATCTAACATTTTAATCTGTCCATGATTTTGTTCGCTGTTTTTCTTTATTTTTTCCCCCATTACTTAAATATATCTTTAATTATATGAGTAGCCTTACTGAAATAATTTCAGCAGTCAAAATTTTGGGTGGAAGGAATAAAGAGGGGGAAAAAAAAACAAAATAAGAGGGGAAAGTTAACAGATAGAAAACACAGCCAATCAGAACAGAAAGCCAGTGTCCTAAATGGTTCATCCTCCATAACTATTAGCATACACATGATTAACAGTATAGTAGACCTGATTAAGTGTGTCTGTACATTATGCTCATCCCTGCATGTTGATTGGCAAACCTGATTAATGGTACACCAGGTTTTCTACAGCGATGGAAGGATGATGTGCTGGTCTCAAGAAAACTGTGGAAAATAAGCGAGCAGTGTGCAGCTAGTTACCCAATGCACAGCAAAAAAAAAGGGGATGAGAGGGAGAGCTTGTGCTGCTTGTGTGTGAACACAAAGTTTGAGACATGAAGTTTAAGAGAATGAAATTGCTTTACAGTTTTGCTTATTACAAAACAATTTAAGTCTGGGTTTGGATGCAGATCAGATATTTGCTTATTCTAGAATTTGTCTTTGCTTCAACCTGTGTATCTCTCAGCACACATATGCATGGGAACCTACCACAGGAAATTATAAGCAGTCTGCACTAACTGCCTGTAAAGATCTTTCCAGAAAACTGTCTAACACCAGTCTTGTGCTTCTGTATCTTGCTGAATGCACAGAGTATGTAATTTTCAACCACACTTGTAATGCAACTAATTTCAGATAGCTTTTAGGGACTGTTTCAAAGTATTTCTGAAGTCTCCAGAGGATATGAAGTCTCTAGATGAGACTTCAGCAATGTTTTTGGGACTTGGTGGTTAAGTGTTCTAAAGATAAGCACTTGAAAATGCAATTCATTGATGCCTCCACCCTGAATGCTTGTAAAAACAGATGATGTATATTTAGCTATAGCTCCTGCTTGTTATTGAGTTATTGACAATGAAAGTCAGCAGTCTTATTAAGCTGAAAGGACTTGCTAAATGGCTTCAATAGAAGCCTAATGTCTAGACAAGGAAGTTAAAACAGACCTATGCTTTGTCTCTTTCTCCACCAAACATACCCTGGTCTACATATGTAGGCATCTAGCATAAAAAAAGGTAAAAATGCACGTTCATATCAGTGTAAAAGTACAAAATGTCTAGAAAATCTGTGTACTATTGATACACACCATCTATTTTAGGTCAGGTACACAAATTTTTTTAGCCATATACATTTGTCCAGAGCAACTTTGGAGGATTAAGTCTCTGGCGTTAAAACTGCTGAATAGCTTTTCTTGAGTTGAGGTATTCATGTGAGGTCAATCTGGTTATAATGGGTCAAATTTACCAGCTGCTCTTGCATGAGGTTGGTCTGTGACAGTAAGTCCAGAATTGTTCCAACAAAATGAGGTTCCCACTAAGAAATATAGAAGAGTTGGGCTGTTAGTACTCTTCTTGTCCTTCCTTGGGTGAATTCCTTCATAACCTGTAACTGAAGACCTGTGGAAACCTGTGTTCATTGAACACTGGCAGTGTTGGTGTGAGAGACTGGCTCAGCCCTTCTGCTTTATCTCCTGATGCTAGTCATGGCATCATGTCTGTAAGCATCTGTTTTATGCAAAGATAACCAAGAGAGAATCCAAACCACTAGTGACGTGTGTGACAATGACACTGCATAGGTATTTTTAATCGGTTAAATTTTATTGAGTAAGTTAAACTGTTATTATTAATTCTTATTTAGTTTTGGTAATTAATTTTTTTTTTTTAATGATTCAAGGGATGTTTGTTTTCACTATCAGTAATAGGTTTCTAGATGATTGGGCTAGCTATATGGTAGAATAGTAATCTCCCCACAGTGAGGACAGAGCTGTCTAGACCCAGCCAATACGAAATGCTGCAGAAGTAGGTGTGTCTTAAAAAGTTCTTCCTGGCAAATGGAGACCTAACTTGGGTGGAAGTCCTTTTTTTTTCTTCCTGTGGTCTGCAGCCCAGAAACTTTAATTAAAGATATTTTTCTCTATCTGTTGGTTGCACAGAACAAGCTCATTCTTTTAAATCATGGTAACGATGGAAGGGTGGTGGTAGCATCATTTTCACTTGCATGGGCAACAGATCCTTTTAGAAAAAGTGAAATGCAATGTTCTCTTAAGATTTTTTTTTAAATCACAATTTTTTATTAAGGGTTGGGTAAGCAGCAGATGAGGGGGAAAACGGCAATTCTTTTCCTCTTTCACAAGTATTTCCCTACTTAGGCGTTTTGCCTTAGACTCTCATTAAAGTGCCATCTCAGTTAAATATTGAGATATGATCTATTTTGTGTGCTTTTGGTCAGAATCTCTTATTTAGAATAGGGCAGAGACTGGTTTGAGTCCCATCAAAGCCCAAGAAGCTTAAAGCGCACATCTTTCACCTCTTCAGGGTTTAATACTTTGTGGAGGAGTGAAAAGGAATATCTTTCCTGTGCTGTGCTATATGACTACACAGGGAGTAATACGCTGAGTCTGAGAGAAAAAGAAAAGTCATGGTCAAATGTTTTCTTCTAGGAAAGGGCTGCACTCCTGGGACCACTTTTGTACACTATCAAATGACTGCTTGACCTTAAGGTGTAAGCCAGGCACTAAGATGCCCAGGTTGTCATCACCTGGGCCTGAAGCTGAACTCCAGGCAGGTAAGAACTTTTCTGAACACCTTGAGTTCAGATGTCTCCTATTTTGACAGTAGTTGAGTATCTAGGACCTAGAAGCCTACTTCACTTTATGTTGGATGTCCAAGTCACTGTCCCTTTCTAGTAACAGAAATTCATTCAGGTCACAAAATGCAGCAAACAAAAATACATTCCCATATCTCTAAGGAATTCCCTTGTAGTGTCAGGGAAGATCTCAACTTAATTTGA